CCGAGTGTTTAGATGAGGCTATGTAAACATGGAAAAAGTGCTCTATTGCTTTTATAAAATAATTCTCAAAATTACGCATGCGTCTAAAACGTCACAACCGTGTTTACATACTCTCATCTAAACACACCTATCGACCAATGAGAGCGCGCGTAGTAGCTTAGTTATTTTATAGATACTGATAAGGGCACACGATTTCCAGTGTACTCCCACCCCCCTAGGTCCCAAATTTAGTTACGTTTGAGTTGAGAACGATCGTATTTGTTAGTTGACAGTTTATTTAACTCCGTCAAAGCAGGTTTCACCGAGTCCACGGTATGTAGTTTGTCCCATCAAAGGGATGCTATAAGCAAAAACTTGCGTAGGGCCCTAAATATAATTGCTAAATTATGTATTGTAGAAAGTTCATGCTCAATACAGTATCTGAGCAACATATAATTCCGAACAATCAATAGAACCCAAATGTTTTCACATGCTTATTCTCAGCAGACGATTTTCGCCCAATTGGTCGAAACGTCAGTCACCAAAAGCTGTACCCCACCCGGAGGATTACACGAGACGGACTAAGCTGCATAATACGCATGGTCATTCATGGCCTCTAGCCCATTGTTATTATCGATCGTGATCATTGCAAAGTTTACTCACAAATCTTGAAGCTTCTTTAGCTCGGGAAAGGTTGGCAAAAATTCAATCTGGTTGTCATATAAATATCTGCATCGACAAAATAATGGAAAAAGTTAAAAAGTAAAACAATAATAACAACAACAACAACAACAACAAAACAAACAAAAACCAAAAAAAACAATAAAAAAGACAACAATTTGGCAACGATTTTACAGAAATTTAACGTTTATGGTTGCGTAATGGCAATTAGCCTTATCTTCAATGTAAATAAATGTCCGATGGTGTGAAAGATTTGCTTGAACTTCTTTTTGAATCAAAAATGGTGCTGAACTAAAGAAGAAATGTTCATGGAGCAAGGAAATCACAAAGGCACACTTTAGGCACATGCGATTTGTTTTGCCCTCGTTAGGCCATAGAATGCCTTCTAGTCTAGAATTTAAGAGAGAGCTCTTTATTTTGACACGCCTTCCAACATCAGCTTTATCGGGGTTTCATGCTATATTTTGTTCAAGCTTTAGAAATTTTTAAGACATAATAAGAGATTTTACGGTTGGTGTTTATTACTTACAATCGTTCTAGACTGACAAGGTTGTTGAAAGCCCCTGGCTCAATCACACTGATCCGGTTTTTTTGTAACTCTCTGTCAGAAACAAACAATAACAATAAAGTAAAGCCTTTTTGAAATCTACTGAGTTTAATGTAGCTCCTTTACTGTGGCCTGAAGCGACTTGAGCTGATGGATGCGACGTAAAGTCAAGTCAAAGTGAAATAGAGTAAAGCTACGTCATATATTTAGTTAAGTAAAACAGAGCAACACGAAGTTGAAATAAAGTCAAACAAAGCAAAGCAAAGAAACGGACCGTAAAGAAAAATAAAGTTGAGTGAATTGAAGTAAGGTCAAGGTGAACAGATCAGTAACACGACTTACAATATTTCGAGGTTTTTCAGTTCTTTAAATAAGTTGGCTCCTAAGGTGGTTATGAGATTATCGGGAAGAAACCTTTAAAGAAAACACAAAGGAACAATTAAGAGGGTGGAACAATCACAATTTAGCTCCTTTAGTGCTTTTTATTTCAACAGTTCTGCAAGTCCTCTTTCCGTTCTCATTAATGAGTAAATGTTAATTAGCTCTTACAATTGCCTGAGATTTTTAAAAGAATCCAGCCAGCCAACAGGAATGGAAGGGATCTGATTGTTACGTAATTCCCTGGAAAATAAATAAATAAAAATTATATACATGTAGAAATCTACGCAGTTTATAACAAAACAAAAGAGAGCATATATTCATCTCTGAACCTTGATATGATTTCTTCTGTATCATTCCCCTAAGCCTTGTACTCATGTTAGAATTATAATATATCAAAAGAGGCCTATTTCGTAACATTGCACTCCGTTTTATTGGTGATACGAGAGTAAAAACACCAAATAAATGAACCCATAGAGAACCTGTCTATAGCGTTGTCATAAAAAATGTAAGCAATTTTCCATCATCTTGATGAAATCTGACACCGTAAATGAGTCTCTTAACTTTAAATTCACACACGCGTTAATTCAACTGATTAACGCAATAAACAGCAGCTTTCGTCCACAATACCACGAAAACAGACCTTTACACAGTCGATTAGTTTGCATTTTGCATCTGCAATGTCTAATAGTTTAATTCAGTTGTAGAATCATTGATGTAATTGTTTAATATTAAGATCCCTCTTACAGAACTCTTGGGTCTTGCCTCTCCAGAGCCTTCGAAGGAAACAAAACCAGCTTGTTGTCTCTAAGTCGTCTAAATAGAGAGAAAATGGACCCAAAGTAAACTGAACATCATTCAAGGGAAATGAATGTTTGCTTAGAATGGCGAAGCTAAACTCCGGGAAGCCATCAGACTTAAGAAAAAAGTGTAAACTCGAGCCTGAATAGTTGAGATTGTGCGAAGGCTCACGAGGACGCTAAGTTAATTCATTCATTTAATCGAATACTCGTAGCCTTGAAAACCGTCAAAATCCCTCATACATGTTGTTTGGGAATGCAGTGGACGTAAACGTAACCGACAACTCAATTGCAAGCCGTCGTTCATTGGATGCTTTGGAAACTGTATGATTACTTTGCGAAAGATAAAAAAGTCACAGTGCGAAAACCAAATGCACAATAACAGCGACGTAACGTTGAATTTTATTTGTTTCCTTGGTAAGATCAGGAGCCATAATCGATTATGGCTCCTGGTAAGATATAATTCTTGTTTTTACGAGGTAAAGGGACTGGGACTCAGTAAATACTTACATTTGTCCATTGACTGTCACACCTTTCAGTGAATCTTCGTGGAGTGTTTGGATTTCGTTGTTAGTGAGGCCCCTGGAAAGAAAATTGGAATAGATCTGCATTTTAGGGAAAGCAATAACACATGTTTCATAACTGCCACATAAATCAATCAATATAATGCGCGCAGGTCAGCTGCCACGCATAGAAATCAAGAGTGACTAAAAGTATTGTTTTAGTATAAATCTACTTGTCGTTTATAAGTTATCTAAATCCGCCTCACTGACACTTCGAAAATGTAAAGAAGTGGCTGCCATTTAGTTAACAACTGGATACTGCTGGGCTTCTCGAACGCCAGTAGATTTATGCTAATATGCAATATCCAGCAAGCAAATTACCGTGCAGGTCGACACGGAGCTGTACTTTTGCTTTATTTTAAAGTTCTCTATTCTAGATCTTTATTCAATGACATTCGTAGAGTTAAGGTCCTACTTTGAATCCAATAATTTATTAAAAAAAGAAACAAAAACAAAAAGCAGACAAGAAAACAAATAAACACAACAACAACAACAACAACAAAAAACTCAACATCCTCCAACTTAAAATTCCCATCCTTACAGAATTGCTCGTATCGTCGAACCACTGTCACCAAACATCTTCACCGTGATAGCTTGAATGGCGTTATTTGTAAGATATCTGTTATAAAGCAAAACATCATTCAATGAATACTGAGCTACCGTCTGTTTTAGCAAACACTACTGATAGAGCCTGTCTTGTAAGAAGTGCAGAAATGCACACATTTTTTTT